AGAATTTTAGAATATAACTTAACATTTGAATCCTAGGATATATGCGTCTCCTGAAGAAGCACCACTTCTATAGATCGTTTATATATTTCCTTTAAAACCTTATATCTTTTTGTTGGAGTATTTAATCCTTTTACGTTATGTCATAAAGTTAACTATATTCCTTCCTCCCATTTTAACGGTTTTCCTCCATACATCCTTTTGTAGGGGTAGAAGTAAACAACCAAAATTTAGAAATAAGAAAACCTTCCCTTTCTCCCCCTCTTCTCCCCCCCCCCCCCCCAAGAACCCCGCTGACCCATTTTTGGCCCTTGAATCAACTGTGATCCATAGCCACAATTGATTCCTTCTGGGTAAGACTCTGAACACGCAAGCCCATTCAGACCCTGATCTCCCATGTTTAGGTCTGAGATTTGATGGCATGATTGGCCTCCCTACTACCCACCGTGGTGCTCCACCTTCTTCCCTCTTCCGCCCAATCTTCTTTACTACAATTCTCTTGCCTGTCAAACACACATCTTCTCTTGGCACCATGTAACCTGTCTTCAAAGTAAGGGGATTTCATCTCCAAGACATTACCGGACGGATGCGAGAGACATGGCGGCGGGGAAAGATGTGATGAGAATGAGGGAAAAAAAAGGAATATATTAAAGGGGGTAGGGAACACCCATCTTGGGTCCATCACCGCCCCCATATCTGCCTTTTTTTTTTTTTTTTTTTAGACTCTTTGCCATTGCTCCTCAGCTAATCCTATATTCTCTCTCTCCTAAGGATCACCCGTTAATTTCTAAAGTCTGTAATTCTAATTTTTCACATAAGTCATTTAGATCTTCCGGAAATCTCAGTATTGCTGATTGCCCATCCTTCCACCCGATCAATCATGCTGGAAATCCCCAGTTATAGCGGATATTTTTATTCCTCATCTGGTCTAGCAGTGGTTTCAGCGATCTTCTAGTGAGTGTTTCCTGCGCTATATCTGCAAAAATTTGCACTTTCGCCTCTCCAAACGTTATATCTGACATCCCGCGTAGCTTTTTCCAAATAATTTATTTCTCTTCATAGTGGTGGAACCTTACTATCATGTCCCTAGGGATATCTGGTGAAACTTTTTGGGATCTTCTTATCCTTTATGCATGCTTTCTATCTTCAGTTGCTCTGTTTCTCTTCCTCCCTTTATTGAATTAAACAGTCTTCTCATAGTGTCCCTTTAGATCTTCTTGAGACATTTCTGGTATACCTCTGATCCTTAAATTGTTCCTTTTATCTGTTTTCCTGGTCCTCTAATATATAGAAAGCAGTCTTTGTTCTCTTTTCATTTCCTCCATTTGCTCTTCTAATTTGTTAATTACTTGTGCTTGTTTCTCCAACTTCCCTTCCGTCTCCTCTACTCGTAATAGAACTTGTCCCATATCACGGTGTAACAACGCCATTTTGCTTTTTATAGACTAATTTTGCAAACATATCAGCAATTTCTGCTTTTGTGGGCATTTGTGGCCTTGCTTCTTGCTCCTCCATATTTCTTTTTTCCCATTTCTCTTTCCGACTTTGAGATTTCTTTCAGCTCCTTCCAATACCTCAAAAGATCATCTCCCACTTTCCTCTCCTTGACTTTCTAAGGTTAAGTCCTCTGAACTTTTCTCCTGTAGAGGCATGTACTTTATCGTACTTGTATTTAGATTTGAATGGGGAGTTTTCACACCCCCTCCCTTGACAGATCAACTCTTCATGCTTCTCAGGATGTGCAGGAGATTGTGATGCTAAGTGTGGATTTACTTTTGAGACTGAGTCCTGGGTACACTGTCCAATCCACCTCTGAGACCCCCAAAACACTTTTATCCTATCCCCATGTCACCCAGCCTCTACAGTAGCGTACATTGGTTCAGCTTTGGGAATTTATAGCCTCCCCCGACCACTCACCCACTCCTGTGTGCTGTTCCCACTGGCTGGCCGTCAATAGTTCTTTCTTTTCTTCCTGGGTCATGCTGGCTGGTCACATTGGCTCTTCTTTAGTGTTTGGGGGTTCCCAATCCTGGTGGTCCCTGTCTCAAGTCTCTGCTCTGAAGCTCCTGGCCGGCTCCACAGCACACTCCTCCCGTGTCCTGTGTTACAGCTGTCACTGTTCACCCTCTGCTCTTTAGCAAAGTCTCTGCAACACAGAAGGTACAGACCTGGGGCCTGTTAGGAAGAAGCAGGAAGGCTCTGTCCTCCCGGTTCCAGCACTCGGCTCCCAGGCTTCCCTGCCCCGTCACCTGACCTGTCACAAGGGTACTCCCGATCCTCCACTGGGTCCTTCTCCTCCTGATGGCAGGTGGCCGCCTTCCGACACTTCACCACCACACAGCTCTCTCTGCTTGACCTCCAGCCGCAGCGAAGGCTCTCGGCGTCAACACCGATAGGCAGAACAGACAGGCATACAGCGGGGTCAGGTATGCACCATCTCTCGGGGGGTGCAGGAGCTCCTAGACCATGCTGCTGTAGAGTGCCATGCACATTCACCTCCCCCCAAGCCCTCAATTGTGCTTCTTTTAAAGACTTGTAAGCACAGCTAGCACAGAAAGCTTCATGACCTTAAAATCCACATTAGGGATATTCTTACCACAGGTGGGAATGTATATAGAATTGTGTTGAGATTTAGCGGTTCATCCTACATCTTAATAAATTTGTCTGAGAACTTAGGGATTATGGCATAGCAGTGTTACATTATTTGAAGAAATCAAAGTAGACAACCTAGGATAGTCTGAAGACATACAATAATTATTTTGAAATCAGGAGGGGGTAATTCACACCTAGGGCTCGTTCACACTTGACTTTATTTCTAACTCTTGCCAAATGCCCCTATGGCGTTTAACAAACGTTAGACAGACGTTTGTGAAGCGTGTTTAACGCTCCGTAAACACTCCAAAAATGCCCTATGCAGGGTTTTGCGGCGGTTGGTAGGCGTTTGCACCACACCACAAACGCCTATAATGAAGTTTAAATGGTGTTAACGCTCCGCAAACGCCTGGCAACCACACCGCAAACGCCGGCCAGGCGTTTGCAGAGCAGCACCAACTCCTCCTGACTTGACCTGAGGTGTCCATTTTGCCACAACGCTTCCATGTGAACAGCACTATGTGTTGCAATGTGCAGAATTTTCAGAGGCGTTTGGGAAGCGTGGAAAAATGCATAGGAACTTTTTTTTTTTTTCTCCCCCAACACCGTGTATGTTGTGGTGTACCGAGTTGTATGTTGGCCACTAGTGTACAGTGCAAAATGAATCACATCCACAGCCCCTCATTGTGGCAATGCATAGTAAAGTAGGCATTTTTACTGCAATACACAAGCTTTAAAGGGACCCCGAATTGACAGCAGTCACTGGTATAGGAAGTATCCTCCCCAACAGGCATACAAACAGCTGTGAAAACTTAATAAAGGTTCAAAGTTTTGCTCACACTACCCAAAATAAAAGAAAAACCTTTATAGGTGGATTTCTACCCTATAATAAATAGTGAAATGTGTAAATGAAGTGATAGAGGGTGAAAAAGAGAGTTTAAAAGAGAAGTTTTTTTTTTTTTTTTTAACAAATCATACTTACCTGGGTGGATGCAGCATTGCTCCGATGCTGCATCTGTCCCCCGCCAGCTCTAAGTGAAAGAACTCACCATCACATGATCGCTGAGTTCTCACCACTGCTGTGAGCAGAGTGTGGTGACTGTCAGTCTGCTTCTTTAAAGTCAGGATCTTTCCCCAGCTGAGTGCCGTCAGCTGAACATGGGCCACAGGAATGCAGAACGAACACTGCACTCCTGTGATCCACAGGAGAAGTACAGCCAGAAGAGATTTGGATGTACTTCTCATTTTACGCAGCTGTACAGCATTGTGCAGCCAATCCTTTTAATTCTGTGATGTGCATTGTAACATTGTACAGCATTGTGCAGCCAATCCTTTTAATGTGATGTAGCTGAGGCTGAGGTGTGACGATGGAAGGGAGGCGGCAAAATAGCTTTGGTTGTGTACTTCTCTTTTTAAGAACTCCAGCAAATTGGAAGGTAACATAGTATATGAAAGCTTACATGTGAGTACTTTGTACCTTCCAGCAAAGGGTTTGTATTCCTGTACTTTCATTCTTAAGATTTCCATAACCGAAGATTTAACCTGATCGTTCTCTGCTGCAGTTTCACTTTACCATACATGTCTCCTCTTGTGGAAAGTAAAGGAGAAGCAACATAATGATATGCTCTTCACCCGTCACTCTGCTCCCTGTACCGCATTACAACTGCTTGGCACCTTGTGCAAGCTCTTGCTCACCCTTTCTGTGCTTTGCCATACAGGGGTCTGGAAGACACTGATACCAATTCATGTATTTACACTGCTTGCATATAAAAAAAAAAAATTAAGTTAATGAGTTATAAATGATTACAGAGCTTCATTAAAGCAGAACTATACTCGCCTTGGCTCCAGTGATGCAACATCCTGGAGCTCCCACCAGACGATTACATCTTCAAGCTGCAGGCTTTCAGGTATTGAGTGCCATCTACTTTCATTGGCCAGGCCAATGTGATGCTACTCCCATGCATGTGCAGGAGCTCAGTTGACTTCGGCATTGTCGAATCACTACAATGAGCTATGTGTGCGCATATTTCCTTTAATATAGTCAGAATTACAAAACAATTATATAATTTTTTTGTAATTCTGACTATATTAAATTTTTTTCTTTTCCCCCATAAAAACAAGTTCCTAGTGTGAAGAGTCCCAACTAGGAGCAGTGCAGTTTATCAGGTACAGGCATTTTTTTGTACTTGTAGCTAGAACAATCAATATATGATATACATTCATACATATGAGGTAACCTACCAAGGACACATTTTAGTTTTTTCAACAGAAACGGTCAGTGATAGCTTGCCTTGAACCATTGGTTCTATTTGCCATCAAAGATTGAAAGAAGGGAAAAAAATTGATGTGGTTGAAATTGCCTAAAACGTGTCAGTATGTCATAATAAAATCTCACTCATTTCAAACTTTAGGATAAAAAAGTTGCCTTCTACAAGCGTGCTCAGATCCTGGTAGGAGACACGTGGGGTGTACTAGAAGGAAAAGGTGACGGCTCCTTTTGTGACATCAACAAAATCACCATGTTTGCTGACTACAGGATACCTCAGGCCTTGGTACATTTTGGCACAATGAGATACTCAGAAGAGCTACTAAAGAAGCTTAAGGAAGGTTAGTAATATGGTTTTCATTCTCTCCCTATAGAAAAATAATCTCTTCAATAAAAGTGTTCCATCTATAACAGAATTGATTGTAACGTAATAAATTCCTAACCTTTTCTTTTAACCACTTGCCGACCAGTCACATTACATATATTGCGGCAGGCGACACCGCTGCGCAAAATCACGTATATGTACACGTGATTTTGCATTTCGGGTAGGGACCGCTCTACTCGCACCGCCAATCTCAGCCGCGGGTGTCAATCACCAGGTTCCGGCCAGTGATTACTGACAAACACTGACAGGGAGCACGGCACGGCTCAATTGTTTTCTATGCAGCTCTCCTCCCTGTCAGTTTGAGCACACTGATCCGGATCACCGAGCTCAGGCTTCCCCGGATCAGTGTGCTTACAGTGAAGCACCCCCCGCTCCCTAGTGAAACACTCCCCTCACACAGTTAACCCTTTGATTGCCTTCTAATGTTGACCCCTTCCTCCCCAGTGCCATTAGTACAGTGTCAGTGTTTTTTTTTTTTGTTTTTTTTTTTTGCACTGGGGATGTCAGCGACCCCAAGTCAGTTCCCCCCCCCCCCCCCAATTAATTTACACGTATAGGGATTTTTTTTTTTTAGCACAGACATACATTTTGGCCTAAACTTATGCCGAAATTAGATTTTTAATTTTTTACTGGACATGTTTTATGGCAAAAGTCCAAAATATTGTTTTTATAGTGGAAAAATAAAAAAACCCACAGGCGATCAAATACCACCCAAAGAAAGCTCAATTCGTGGGGGAAAAAAGGACGTAAATTTCATTTTGGAGCAGCGTTGCATGACTGCGCAATTGTCAGTTAAAGTAACGCAGCGCCTTAGCACAAACCACTTCTGTAACCTATATATATAGATAGATAGATATAAATTGTGTGTGTGTGTGTGTGTGTGTGTGTGTGTGTGTGTGTGTGTGTGTGTGTGTTTCGCGATTCGCTCTCCCATGGTTTTCACGCCCCTCCCAGATAGCATCAGATTGCCCATCAGTACACCAATAATCACATCTAACCCCTTGATTGCCAGGAGCACACTCATACACAATAAACCTCTATTGGTAGTATAGTGTCTGAACGGATCATTATCTTTGATCAGACCAGCACTATACCAGCGTTCACATTAGTATAGTGTCCCCAAAAATGCAGCGCTCACAGGATCAGCCCCGGCACCTGCCCAGCACCTACGTTTAGCCCCTACGCTTACACCCCCAGCAAGTGCAGTGTCAGTAGGTCACTGTCACTTGATACATTGCACACAAAACCGCAGTGTTTGCAGAATCAGGCCTGATCTCTGTTAGCACTTGCCGGTAAATTTTGATGACTCTCATATGCAGCAGTGTGCCAGTACTAGTGCCACGCTACCTTTTGGTGAACTGGCGAGCACCAGCGGCCTAGTACATCCTGGTCTTTCACATACCAGCACTGCAGCATTGCTTGGTGATGTGGTGAATCCCATAATTGCAATACAAGCTGGTGCAGTGGCGAGCACAAGTATTGTCCCGCAACCACCAAGAATTTGTACACAGGACCGTAGACCCCCTAGTATCCTTCCGGATGTGCTTGCAAATCCCGATTGACAGCCCACAAATTCTACAGCACCCATACTTCCCCCAATCACTGCCCACCCGGAATTCAGGTGGAAACTGCAAATTTAAATATTCCCCTTGATTTTTTTGGAGCCGTTTTTTTCACAGAAGATCTGTATGCATTGATTGTGGATCAAAGCAATTTATATGCACAACAGTTTATCGCCGCCAACCCAAATTCAAACCTTGCCAGACCACTTGCATGGAAACCCATTACGGTTTCCAAATTTAAAGGTTTTTTTTTTTGGGCCTAACCCTCAACATGGGCATTACTATACAAAAAAAAGGATTGCGATTGTATTGGTCCACAGACCCGATTCATCATATGCTCATGTTCTCTGCTGCCATGGCCAGGCGTAGATATGAGAGTATAATGCGTTTTTATGCATTTCAATGACAACACACTCTGTCGTCCTCGGGGTGACCCTGAATTTGACCGGCTCCACAAAATTCGACCCCTCGTAAATCACCTTAACAAAATATTTGTAGATGTCTATACTCCCCAGCAAAACATCTGCGTTGATAAGTCCCTCGTTCATTTTTCTGGCCACCTTGCATTCAAAAAAAATTTCTCCCCAGTAAGCGTGCCAGATATGGGGTTAAGATGTATAAGACCTGTGAGAGGGCAACAGGCTATACATATAACTTTCGGATTTACAAGGGAAAAGATAGTCACGTGGAGCCCCCCAGATGCCCAGACTACATGGGGAGCAATGGCAAGATAGTTTGGGACTTGGTGTCATCCTTTTTCCATATGGGGTACCACTTATACATAGACAATTTTTATTCAAGCATGCCACTATTTAGACATTTGTACAATCTTGAAATTGGCCCATGTGGCACCGTGCGACCTAATCACCGGGGCTTCCCCCAACGGCTTGTAAATACCCGTCTTGGGGGGGGAAAAGCCTGCTTGAAAAATGAGTCTCACAAGTGTGGTATCCTCATACTCGGTAGAGTAGCAAAATGTATTTTGGGGTGTAATTCCACATATACCCATGGCTTGCTTGAGCAATATATCTCCTAGATTGTAAGCTCGAAAGAGCAGGGTTCTTGAACCACTCGTGTTTTGTTACTGTATTGTCTCATGTTCTGTCCCCCACTATAATGTACAGCGCTGAGCAAACCTTTTAGCGCTATATAAATACTGTATAATAATAATAATTTAAGTGACAACTTTGTCAAAAAAAAGTTTCATTCTCCAAAAACTTGTGGAAAAAAAATAAATCTCAGCAGATAGCTTAGGGTGTCTACTTTCCGAAAAGGGAACATTTGGGGGAATTTTACTGTCTTGGTATTTTAGCACCTCAAGAAATGTGATGGACAGTTAGAAAGTAAAAGCTGTGTAAATTCCATTATCTATACCATAGTTTGTAGACACTATAACTTTCACACAAAGCAATCAATATACACTTATTGGGATTTTTTTTTTTAACCAAAAACATGTAGCAGAATACATTTGGCCTAAATTTATGACAAAATTTGGATATTTTTTATGATAAATGTGAAAATTTTGAAAAAAAATAAAAATATTTTCTGTCTTTTTTTTGTTTATAGCGTGAAAAATAAAAAGCGCACAGGTCATCAATTACCACTGAAAGAAAGCTCTATTTGTGTGGGAAAAAAAAAGGATATAAATTTTGTTTGGGTACAGCATTGCATGACCGCGCAATTACTAGTTGAAATAGAGCAGCGCCGAATAGCAAAAAGAGGCGTTGTCATGAAGGGGGATAAATCCTCAGGAGGGCAAGTGGTTAATGGACTGTCTACAGAGTGACAACCTAGTATTTCCTGCATGGGACTGCAGATTTGCTGCCATTGTAAACCGTGCTAGGTTGTGGTCAGGCCATGGATATCGGATGTCAAGAAAAATGCATCTCAGAACTGCTAATGTTTGCATCTTGATAAGCACTGGGGGGAGTGTGGGGTTTTTTTTTTTTGTTTGTTTCCCCCCCCCCCCCCGTATGACCACTTTCCAGCAACTACAGAAAACTGATGCTTTGGATAAAGTAGTCCTTTTAAGAGCAGCTGTTGGTTTTAGATTTTGATGGCTATTCCTCTTCTAGAAATACTCTAGAATTGTTCTTAAAGTTTTTTACATTTTATGTTTTTGTTTACTGGTATACACAGGTTGGCTTTTCCAGAATGGAGATCAAGAGGAAATGGAGATTCGTGGTTGCTCCATCTGGGCTGTGGAATTGGTCTGTGAGTGTATACAGGAATTGTTTGAGAAAAAAGGAGAGAAAATGAGCAATGAAATAAATCCTGTCCTGATTGACCACTTTCTGTGGGATTATGCTCGAGACTACAGGGAGGAAATTAAAGTGGTTCCCTTTCATAGGGTTCGATGTATCTACTATTAGCGGTTTCCCTTTATTACCAGTTGGTTTAATTTTGCACTTAAGTTGTTCTTTCTTGGTAATTGCACCTTAATTCTTAGCATATAGAAATGCTGTATGTAAATTAGAATTAAACCAGAATTGATATCTTTGAAAACTGGAGCCCTCTAGTTCCTTTTATCATAGCGGGGATTACTGCTTTGGGAATAAAGATCTAGTTTTATAAAATGGTAATAATTATCTCCTGTGCTAAAATCTTCACCTATTTTGATCTAAAGTACACATAAAGAGGATTCCCAACAAAAACATACATTCCCAATTTTTTTAGGCCACAGTTGTCTCTATCTCCCAATTTCCTAGGTGGGTTATAGTCCAATCACAAGAAATGTTGATGTTCCTGTCTCCAGGAGACCTATGAAGCCATGCAATTGAACTGCTCAAAATGTCTAAAGCTGAAATATAACTTATGGGGTTTAAAAATGTATTTCTGCATCTTAACACTTTGTCTTTTTTGAACTTTTTTTTTTTTTTTTTTTGTACTGAATATTTTTAATGGTCTTTGGAAATAAAAAAAAAAAATGGTTCGTAGGACTCTACTTTTATTTATTTTTTTCCTTCCGTACTACTTGATTTGTTTTCTCCTACATTTATATGTAATTAGCAATTCATTTTAATTAACCACCTCCGACCCGCCATATAGTAATAAGACGGACACAAGGTGGTTCTCGTATTCTGGGAGGACGTCATATGACGTCTTCCCATTCTCACCGCACATGCGGGTCAGGGAGTGCGCAGCGCCGCGATCGGCAGTGCTTTTGTGTCCCTCGGACACAGTGGCTCACCGATCACGGAAAGAGCCGAAGATGTCGGCTCGGTCATGTGATCAGCTCTGTCCAGTCACAGCTGATCACATGTAAACAGGGAAATGTCGGTTATTGGCATTTCTCTCCCCTCGAGCTGTCATGCTGACAGCTCATAAGGAGAGGAGAGCCGGTAATCGGCATTCCGCAGAGGGGACATGTACACTGATCATCAGGGCACTGATGATCAGTGTGCCCTGATGATCAGTGTACCTCCAGCACTGCCACCTGTCAGTGTCGTCAGTCAGTGCCTCGTGCCAGTGCCTACCAGTGCACAGCAATGCCACATCAGTGCCCATCTGAGCTGCCTTTCCGTGTCACCCATCAATGCCAATCAGTGCCATGTATCAGTGCTGCCTTTCCGTGCCCATCAGCGATGCCTGTCAATGCCCATCAGTACCACCTCTCAGTGTAGCCTCATTAGCGCACATCAGTGAAGGAGAAAAATCACTTATTTACAAAATTTTATAACAAAAACTAAAACTTTTTTTTTTTTTTTTTTCAAAAATTCAGTGGTTTTTGGTTTGTTTAATCACCTCTGGGTTTTTTATTTTTTCTTAAATACCACCAAAATAAAGCTCTGTCACAAAAAAAATGATAAAAATGTCATATGGGTAGTGTTGCATGACCGCGCAATTGTCACTCAAAGTGCGACAGCGCTGAAAGCTGGAAATTGGATTGGGCAGGAAGGGGGTAGAAGTGCCCTGTAGGCTAGTGGTTAAACAAAAATTAGTCATATCAGGCTTACAAAAACCTTGGACAAACATCACAACCAAAAAAAAAAAAAAAAATACAAAGATGGAAACATGGTTAAATGTACACTTGAAGATGCTGACATAAACTATGCCTCTTGTTTGGTGTATGTAGAGCATTTTATTTCAGGGACATGAACTTTGAATTCATGTCCCTGAAATAAAATGAACATGAATTTATTCTAAAGGGCCAGAACTACTGCATTGCAGTATATATCATAACATTGTAAACACAAATGTTTATATCGGGGCCCAGTTCTAGTACACTAGACATCCTCTATGAGCAGAATCATGTAGTCTAAAACCAGATATACCAAAATTCGGCCAGTTCAGCAGCTTTTGCAGCCAATGATGAGTTTGAAGACAAATATGAGTGAAGAGTCCCCACTATCAGACTACAAAGACACAGTGGGAGAGATCCCTTATGTGGATGCAGGGATCAATGTGTTTACCCTGCTTAAAGTGCTTGTAAAGTCTGTATTATTTTAATTTAAAAAAATCAAAATGTATAAGCAGGTTTATACTTGCCAAGAGAATACCACTACTTTTGCCTCTCTTTATTATAAACCCCGAACATCTGAATACAAAGACGTAGACTGTAAAGCCAAAATCAATACAGATATAAGACACATTAATGCAGCTTCAGTGCATTCATAAAGCATTCAGACCCCCTTCACTTTTTTCAATTTTGTTATGTTGCAGCCTAATTCATTCTGTTTTCTTAATAATCTACACACAGTACCCACATAATGACAAAGTGAAAACAGAATTTTTGAAATGTATGAAAAAGAAAAACTGAAATATTACATTGGCATAAGTATTCTGACCCTTTGCAACAACACGTGAAATTTAGCTCAGGTGCCTCACATTTCTCGATCTTTGCTGAGGTGTTTCTGCACCTTGATTGGAGTCCACCTGTGGTAAATTAAATTGAGTGGACATTATTTGGATAGGCATACACCACTCTATAAAAGGCCTCACAGCTGACAATGTATACTGTATCAGAGCAAAAGCCATGAGGTCAAAAGAACTGCCTTCAGAGCTCAGAAAAAGGAGTATTTAAAAGCCACAGATCACGGGAAGGCTACAAAACAATTCTGCTTCCCTGAAAGTTCCCAAGAGCACAGTGGTCTCTAGATTTGTCAAATGGAAGAAGTTTAGCACAACCTGTACTCTTCCAAGACCTAGTTGTCCAGCCAAACTGAACAATCGAGGGAGAAGGCTTTGGTAAGAGATGACCAAACACCCAATGGTCCCTCTGACTGAACTCCAGAGATCCTGTGTGGAGATGGGACAAAGTTCCAGTGACAACCATCACTACAGCCCTCCACCGATCTAGGGTTTATGGTAGGATGGATAGACAGAAGCCTCTTCTCTGTGCAAAACACATTAATGCCCACTTTGCGCTCACAAAAAAGCACCTGAAGGACTCTCAGCAGGTTTTCATGTGTTTTTGCTCTGAGGAGAGGCTTCCATCTAGCCACTCTGCCATAAAGCCCAGAATGGTAGAGGGCTTCAGTGAGGATATAACCACTGTTGTTACATACCCTTCTTCCCTCCTAAGGTTCGGTACAGCAATAGGTGTACATTTTGTGCCTTGCTATGCCAACATCTTTTTGTCATACTGTGAAAAACAGAATATTTGGGCCAATAACCCCTTCTCCAAGCATTTAGTGTTTTACAGACGATGTGATTATCATCTGGGATGGATACTTGGACATCATGTCTGAGTTTGTGAAATACTGTAATTTAAACTCTTACAATATACAGCTCATTCATGTTGTTGACCCAAGATCCTTAGTATTTCTGGATCTGGTCCTGTCCTGGGGTAGAAGAAGGCATTATTGCATTGAAAAGCCATTTCAAAGAGACAGCCGGCAACTCTTATGTTCATCAAAAGAGCTGCCACCATCACAAGTGAAAACACGTCATACCATAGGGTCAATTTAATAGGTTAAAAAGAAACTACTAACACGGCTGATTATCTAGAACAAGGACAGCTATGGACTAATGCCAGCCGTAGATGGGTCGACAATCGGCTGATTTTTCGTCCGAAAAAAAAAATGGACGAATTTCGCACTGTTAGTGGGTTAACTGGTCGGCTGTTTTTCGGGCTTTTTGCACATTTTTTTTCATTGGGCAGGTCGGAAAATTTGCGGCAGACTTTGACGGTCGGCCGATTTTCCCGGTAATGATGGGCAAATCGGCCGATCGTTTTTACCGATAATAAAATCTGTGCATGAGCCGTGACCTGCAAGAAGAATTCCAGTTCGCTATTATATTTTATATGAAAAAGTCTTGTGGTTGCAAATAAAACCATACAGATGGTTTTATTTGGATACAAATGGATACATTTGTTGAAACCGCAAGACTTTTTCATATAAAATATAATAGCGGACTGGAATTCTTCCTCTTCCTCCCCTGTCTCTGCAAGGGACAGAAGTTATGGGGATAATGCCGACCATAGACAGGACGCGGTGTTCTGTAGCTAGTCCTACCAAGCTGGATGGGAATTGTGCTGACATGGAGCTTGTCAGGAAAGGAAAATTATGGTAAGTATCTGTCATTCAATTTTCCGGTTTCTTGACAGCTTCATGTCAGCACAGCTGGGAACTAATTAGTCACACGGGAGGAATAATGCTACAAACTCCTCAATTCTGGCTAAAAAGCAGAAGCCAGGATACCTCTGCCAAACACAACTGTCATTAATACTGCTTCTATACAGTAATGAGCCATGAACGTATATACTGACCCACCACGTAGCTGCCTTGAAGATAGTGTCTGGGAACACTCAGCCTGCTGCTGCTCACACGGTCGAGACCCTTTGGGTGGACAGTGAAGTGATTCCCCTGTCACAGCTAACCCTTTCAACTTCTAGACCAAGGAGATGAGCTTGACCAAGCAGGAGGCAATGATCTTGTTGGAATCAATAAAATTATTACACGCTCCACCTGGAATGTCAAACAAGTGCTCTGACTTCCTGATGCCAGATGTTGGCTTGATGTTACATTTTAAAGCAGCACATCTGATGAGTACACCCCAAGACGGATGTGGAAGAACAGTGTTCTGTGTGATATGGACTCTGAAGGCCACTTAGGCCCTATTTTGAGTATCAGCATGAGTACCACCCTATCAAGGATGAACATAAGAAAGGGTTCTTTAAACCCCAGGGCCACTAATACGGACACTCTTCTTGTTAATGTACTTGCCACCAAGAAAGCAGTTTTTAGCGAGAGGTACCACAAGGGGCCACTTTGAAGGCATCTGATGCAAACAAGTCCAACACCAATGGGAGATCCCACTTCACAAACAATCCCTTAGGTAGATTTCAACCAAGTTGCAGATTGAAGGACAATATAATTGAGTGCTGTATGCCAGTGAAGGCAGAGATAGCTGAAATGTGGTCTCATAG